TAATATCGGCTTTAATTTCGGCTTTGCCAACACAGGATATCGGGTTCTGCAAATATAGCTGCGTTAAGATCTGTCGTACGTACAGTCTCTCGATAGTCTCGCACCGCGTCGCCGCTGGGTCGAGGAAGACCGGCGGAAGGGTGTTCGGGGGTGATCGGGGGTGGTTCTGCCGCATAAAGGGTCGTGGATATTCGACGCCCCGGCAGTAAGCGCCGCGACGTCCGTCGGAGACGCGACATACAGCGTTCGCACGCGAAAACTCGTGTCACGTGGCTACGAAACGGCACGTAATACTTCTTGACAGTATTTCGCACAGAAATCGGAGGACAATCGAAGATCTTTTTTTTATATACCTTTTATGCGAAAAGCTGAATCGTGACTGAGATGAACGCGATTTTATAGTTGAACAGATATGGATTTTGTCAAATTGAAAAGGGAATTTTTTTTCTTTTACTGTTTTTCTTATTTTTTATTTGTTTAATTTACCCAAGCTATACTGATTAAATATCTATCTAATAATTAAATCAATATGTGATTTAAATAGATTTATTGTATGATAATCGTGTGTACGAGAAATTGGCAAATTGATAAAGAGCACGCACTATGATTATATGCTGATTGACATGGATATCTGACTGTATCTGTGACAAATAGGTATTTGTCAGTGACAGTTGCTGACAAATAAATTGCTATAAATGTCAGAACAAGGTATGTTAATAATAGCAAATTCATATAAATTTTTTCTTTAAAAAATTTGATAATTATTTATCAAAGAAATAAATTATACAAATAATTATTATTTAAAAATTCCTACTTTGTCATTTATTTATTAAAATATTGTTATATTTTTAGTTTGGTATATTTATACAAGAATCGTAGAATGAGATTTAATATGAGAAATATTTTAAATAAAATTATTGAAATAATTTTTGATTGGAAAATATTTATTTTTCATTACTTACAGTAATTTTGAAGATTTGCTGCAACCAGATTATTGTTTAACAGATACAATAAATTGATTTATCTCTTTATTATAATAAAAAAGCAAGTTATGTAATATATTAATACAATAATTAAAAATGTATGTTTTTCATACAAAATTTTTGTAAGCTGGCTTATTATCTTCTTTATGTTCCTTTAATTTATGCAAAACAGACGAAAGGATAGTTAATTCCGATTGTTATTGTTAAGATTCTCGAAACAATCTAACTTTACAGTGCACATATCTTTTCGAAAGCTTTATTCAATAACCTGCATTATGCAATCATGACGAGACCTGTTGACATAAATAAGAATCAGGTTGAATGTATTCAAAATATTAAGTGCACATTAAAATACATAAGTAAAGTTTTATATAAATTTGTTATAAATAACAATAATATCCAAACAAGATTATAATAACAATAACTATAAATTTGCTTAGAAAAAGAACAGAATTAAAAAATAAACAAATGTTTTAAATTGATTTGTTCTAGAAAGAAGATTTCTCAAGTTTTTAATAATCCATGACTAAAAAAAAATTGATTATATAATTTTGAAAAATTTAATATTCAGTTTAAAATATAGTTTTGTTCTACATTGTATTTTTGATAGAAAAACGTGGTTGTATAAATACGTTCTGCATATATATCGTTAGAAATAATTCTGATATATAAAATGACAATCGGGGCTTATATAATATTGTATATGTACATAGTGTTTTCAAATTATCATGATATAACTAGTTAATAAAATTGATGAAAACACAAAGAATCTTAATAAACATATAGGCAAACATAAGCTGATATTTGAAATTATCGAAATATGAGTGATTTTATGACACGTATAACCACACGAAGAAGCTTAGCTTACAAAATAAAAAGCTGAATATTCCGACTGATGGTTAGTTCGCGGACGTATGTTTACAAGATTGTTTTTGCGAGTTCTATTAGAAAGTTTTCTCATGACCTATAGTTCCGAAATATCCTATACGCTAATATAAGAAACTTGTAATACCTATAAGAAACTGATACGAACCAATGGAAGTTTATTAATAGTTCGAGTGTCGAGCAAAATTGCTATAAGCTTCTGATATGACGTAGACGATATTATTTCCAGGTCATGAACTGATCTTTAGACAAATGGCGTGTAAATATAGTTCAGGGTCTGTTGCCCGAGCCAAACGAGAATGAGTCGCGCGCTGTATTAGCGCAGATTGTACTTAGTCCACTTTTCCGTGGCATAATGGTCTCGAATAACGTCTCATTGCGGAAGCTGGCGAAATTGTCTTACCTGTAACAGAAAGCGCGTAGTTTATCGTGCATTCCTCTTGGTTCTCGTACGCGTACGACGCGTTTCTCGGAAAAAAGCGCGGAATTGTTTTTCAGAAATATTATGGGAAAAGAAGTTCAAAATTGAAGTTATATTAATACAATATTGTTTACAATAAAGATATTCGAAGGCATAAAAGTTTTCTGTCGTTTTACCAAAAGAAAGTCTGATAAAATTTGCAATCACAGATAAATGATTGATAAATGTTGAATTTTTCAGCTTGCTCTTTCATCATAAACAAGATCATAATATTATATTAATTTATTAAAAAATAAAATAATATAAAAGGAAGATAAAATATTCGTTTTACCTCTTGTTGTGAATTTTACAAGTTTGATGCAAAGGATAAAAGTTAAAATGTTGCCCACTCAAATTTCTCTTTTACAGATTAATAAAAAAAAATTAATCAATATGTACGTAATATAAAAAAATGATCAATAAAATTTTCTTTCAAAAATATCTTCTTCCTCGCTTTGCTAAAAATATATGACAATAATATAGTTAGTCGTTTCTAGCCGTTTTCACGTAACTCAGGTACGCGCCGAGTTTTAAGGAGTCGAAGTCAACGTCGAGCGAGACAAAGTTATCCGGAGAACTAGCTTCCATACGTCAGCGAGAGTAACACCGATACACTCGGCACGTAAACACCGGAAAATAGATGAACCCGTCTCGTCGTTGCTCGTAAATTCTCAGTTGCCGTAGCGGTAAACACGCGCGTCCCGGTGAATTGGGCATAAATATAATTTAAAGTTAGCCGATCGTCACACGTAATTCAAAGTCACCGACGCGAGAAAAGAGCGCCCGGTGGGAAAGGCTCGCTTACGTAACATAATTCGCGACGATTCCGCGGTGACGGTCTCCGTGACGACGACAGGGCAATGTAATCCTTTCGATGGCGACCGACTTTGAAGACGGAACTTAATTCGCTTCCGCGGCATACGGCCTCCGGTGGATCGGGAACTTTTTACCAGCCTCACTCTCATCTTCTTTCTTCGCGAAAGGCGAATCGAGCTCTCCTTCCTTCGATTAGTGCTGCATTATTCATGAAGTCGGGCAATTACAATTTCCCCGAGCCCGGTCGTGCAAAAGAGAATTAAAAGCGGTCCGGGTTTCATCGACTCGCCGATTGGTTTGGATCGACGTGTAAATTAATGGCTATGTTACTCAACTGCGCAAAAAGACGCGAGAGAATGATGGAGTATTTGCGCGCACAGCAGCGCGGCGTAATGAATACCATTCCGTAGAATTTTTATGTACAGAAATCCTTTATACAAAATTATAAAATAATAATTTATTTCGTATGTACTACAATAATATTTGCACGGATTTTAGAAGAGTTTAAACATTTATCGGAATTTTTAATTAATTTTGTTTATTTGTTCGAGATGTAAAGTAGAAAATTTTGCTCATTAATTTGCATAATATTTTTAGATTGTTGGGTTGGGATTCAAAGAGAGCGCACACACACACACACACACACACACACACTTATTATACGCAATACAAGACAACGTATTTATTATAGACTTACTGAGCGAGAGTACGTACAACGAGAAGAGATACAATCTGACAATGAGTAGCACCAGTACAGCAAAAAACGCGAAACAAAATCTGAAGCATGGCACGGTTCATATATAAAAAAAAATAATTCTGTAAAAAGAGCGCATTGTGTGTGTGTGTGTGTGTGTGTGTGTGATCAACGCTAACTTAAATCTTACTCCACTTAAATCTTACTTCAACATAGATTTAATATCGTAAATAATTTTACCTAAATTTTCCGTCAAATTCATAAATTTTTCGTTAAATTCATAAATATGTTGTATATTTCGTTATTTATTTTTAGATTATTGTACTGACTTATACTTTTTACATTCTAGATAATCATTTGGGCCGCATTGTCTCACATAAAGAATACGTGTTATAAGAATGTTGGAAAACGGAGCTACGCAAGCTGCTAAATTTATATTTATGCTGCACATTTATAAAGGAGACTCTTCTACGATATACGCTGATGATTAACGCTCTCATTTAGTCACAGTGACCAACGTACCAAAGACAATTGCATCGTCGGAATAATTATGCCAGAAACAACAGCACAAAAATTCCCATAATGATCAGTAAAATCTGTCAGAATAAACATCGCATCACCAGTCACTATACAATGCTAATTTATCAGAAGAAATCCGTTTCTTTTCGAGCCGGAGCACGGCGTAAATCGGGAGGGCTGGTCAAATTTCGGAAGATATAATATCTCCCTCGACTCGAAAATGGTGCAAATCACATGATGTAGCATTAGGCAAAAGAGACAAGACTCATACGTCGGTTTTATGCGTCCACTGCTCGATTTTGGAAATTTTCTGGGATAATTTCGGTCGATGTTCGGAACTTGCCGCAGCGCTTGGATTGACTTAAGAATGAGACACGTCGCGATATTATGGGACACTTCGGGAACTGTTTAGACGGCTTATCTAAGCGGACGTCAAAGAGGTCCTGCGAGAAGGCGTCGCGGCGTCTCAGATCACTAATCGCCAAAGCCAGGAGGTGGGGCTTGACGACTAAGGAGGTCGCCGAGTTGCCTGCGATGAAAAAACTGGTACCGACTCGTATCACCTCAGGCTCGGCCACATGGACGACTTTGGCTATGATCGCTTTGATCTTAGGCAGCGGTATGGTCCTAGCATACATCTGCGCACCTTGTATCACGAGGAACAGATAGGATGAAGTTGATGCGAATCTGACAGTGCAACCGACTAGCAAAGAGATCATTGCTGAAAACAGGTAATTGATTATTCCACTTTACTTCTGAACAATAAGGTGCACTTTTAAAAAGAAGCCTAATCAAAAAGATGTAATATGTAAAAAAAAGAAATAATAACAAAAAATATCAATTTTTATACGGAAATCTCTCAAGCACCAAATATTACAATTCTATTATAAAAAATTATGATTTTTGCTTCTTTTAAGACAAAAAATATATTTTGATTTTTCCAGTAAGTAAATACTTTGAATGCCTAGATATTTTAAAAAACAATATCACGGGTGAATGCATACAAAAAATACGACGCATGCTGTGATAAAAGTTGTGTTACATGTACTAAATATTAAAGTTTTGTTTTCATAAAATGTATGCATTTTAGTTTATTTTATTAAATATAAAATTAATATTTTTCTCTATGAATGAATGAATGAAAAATTGATAAATTCTTTCGAAACATGTCGATTATTTATGTTTTACTTTTATTATTATTATTATTTTCTGTATAAGAATTTCAGAAAAGACTTATCATTGTATTTTTATGTATGTAAGCAAATCACATCTTTTATTTTTATCATTTTATTAATATAATTCCAAGAACTTAACACTTTCATAAATGTTTCTAAACATAAAAGTGAAGAAAAGATAAGTAAATTTATGTTTTTATATTTGGTCAATAAAATTAGAGATTTGAAATTAAAATTCAATAATGTATGTGCATTTATAATAGTTAATCTTTTATTCGTGTAAATTTCTTTGATAAATGGTTAGCCAAAACCGTTTCTTGAATAAACTCGTTTCTTGAATAAACAGCTAAAACTGGAATCACATTCTAGTTTACTTGGACGTGTAATTGTAAACTAAAAACTTTTATCCTCATTGTTGTCACATGTTAAAATTTACATCTTAATGGCTAATTCAGACAAGTTTGAAATAGATTTGGGTAATTAAAAATATATTGCAAAAAAATATTATACTTACAAGATTATTCCCAGATTTCAGTACATTCCAGTTTGGCATTTCTTAGTTGACCAGCAGGACAATCCTTCAATGGAACTTGTATGACATTTGGTTCAGCAATTACCATTATGACAAAGGTTGATATTAATAGAACAGCAACTATCAAGTATGCAGTGAAGATACCGCAGCTATTCTTCATGTGTTTGAAATGCATTTTGCTCGAAACAGAAGCAGAAATCAAATCCAAAGCTTTGCAATTTATATCGGAATAAGAAACTGAAACTGTTGTTTGTAATATGTAGCGTCTTGCACAGGAATTTTCTATTTTATATCGTTTTCGGTCATAAACACGTGCCAATCATAAATGTACGTGACAAACGTGATGCGTATGTATAGTAAAAGATATCAAATCCTTACATAAAAGTGTATTGTATACAGTACTTTCTTAGTATCTAATCTAGTAATATAAAATATATTTTTGTTCTCAACACTTCTCGAAAAAGTGTAAATATTTTAATATCCTACTTTAATCGTTAATTCTTTATGCGTTATTTTTATTATTATATTTTATTATCTATTATTATTACTTTTATTATTAAAAAATAGCATATAACTTACAACAAAACTCAAGCAGCAGTAAATACTCAGGCAGCACGCATGCATAAAAGATATCGTAAAGGCATCTTTTAGACATGTATGTTATCTGAGTATATAATAATCTGGCAGAATAATCACATATGAATATAATAAGTAAATAGTATATGTTATATTTCTCTCTCTCTCTCTCTCTCTCTCTCTCTCTCTCTCTCTTCCTTAGAAATCCCGCTGGAAATTTCTTTTAATTTTGATGGTAATTATAAATCACAAGTGTCAAGGATGAATGCGTTTCTTTTCTCTAAAAATAGTATACATAATTAAATTGATAGTGAATTTGATAAAAATGATACTGATAAGCATCTTTAGAAATAACTAAAGGATTTGTCTTTTTTCCCTTAACATTTATCAGATATTATTAGATATAAAATAAACTGTCTGTTTTTTTTATATAGTTTTAATAATTTTTAATAATAATTTTACTAGTTAAAAAGAACAGCTTTTGTTCTTTTAACCTTCTTGAAGATAAAACTTAACAAGAGAAAGGAAAAATATACTTATTCATTTTTAATTAAACAATGAAAATACAGGTTTAAATTAATATAATACTATCATGTACACACACATAATTTACAATAGTTTATTTTTCATTATTTCTTTACAATTTACTTATAATTGTTGTTTAGACGAACGTATGAAGTGCAACCGCATTTTCAGATATCCATGTAACTGCAAACCAAAAATTGATAATTAACCTAATTGGTAATTACTATCATATTATTATTAAATTTTTTATTTTGTAGTTAATTATTAATTCATAACTGGCAAGAAATGTGTAAATATTTTAAAACATATTGCAAATAAATTGTACCTGTTTAATTTTAGATTAACAATCGGCAGCGATTAGCAATCGAATCCCATTTTGACTCTATGGGACACTTTGGTTGAATGAGAGTTGCTTCAGTAATCGTCATTGAGATAAATGTTAATAAAAACGTAATGAGCAGAGGTAAAATGTACAGTTTGTTGAAACGGATATCTTGCATGTTTCAAAAAATTCGTTACTCTAGTGATAGAAGCAACAATAAAATTTAAAAAGTCTTGTGGAAAGAAATGATTTAAATTCACCCTAGAGAGGAGAGAAGAGAGAATTATTACGCTGCACACAATGAAATTACTTCAATTATGTGGCGTTCTGCGCAAGAATCTTCTTTTATACTGTTTGCAATCATAAATGATATCAAGAGCAATGTATGCTACAAACGTGACGCAAATGTTATAAAAGTTATGTTACAAGGTATATTATAGTTATCTTTTGATGCATGTATTATGTTATCTTTTTATTGTCTTTTTTATTAAATACAAAATATATGTATCCTTTTATTGATATTTATTTTTTTCTCTTTTTTGTCCTCCTTCTTCTCTCTCTCTCTCTCTCTCTCTCTCTCTTTCTCTCTCTCTCTCTCTCTCTCTCTCTCTCTCTCTCTCTCTCTCTCTCTCTCTCTTTCTCTCTTCAGTTCTAGAAGCAATGAATTTTTTTATGCCTGAATGCAATTTTCATGCGTCAATTTTTTATATTACTATTTTTTAATAAAAGTATATAAAAAGATTAAATAAATTTAAAACATAATCATATGTCTTGTAAGTTATATTTTTCATATCACTTTATTAATCTTACAATTTAACACTTTCTTAAAAAATTAATCTTCAGTAAAAACTGAAGATAACAGTGGGGAAAGAAAAATAAGTTTGTCTTTTTATATATATTTATTAAATAAATGTAAACCAAATTTTAATATGTTGCATGTTCCACAAAAATTAAATTTCTTTGAACTTTTAAAAAGTTAGAAAATAATAAATTTGTTTTTTTTATGTTTAATTATGAATCTAAAAGCATTAATTTTTTGTAGCTGATAAACGAATAAATATATCCATAAATATTTAAAAAATGTTGCATAATATTATATTGAGAACTTTATATCTTCTTTTAACACCTCATCAATTCGACTCGTCTAAGTTCTAATTTAGTGTCTACCACGTGATAAAGTTGATATTAATAAAGGAATAACCAACACACACATATGTAATGAATGTGAATATGGATGATTATTTTTAATGTTTACAGATAGCGTTTTGCTGGTGATTGAAGCATCAGCAACAAATCTTGTAAAAATATATAATAATGCTGCAGAATAATCATAAATAAAAATTAAATTTTATAATAATATGTTGCATTTTGCGTGGAAATGTCGTTTTATTTCGTTAGCAATTGTAAATCACATTTGCAAGTATAAATGCATATATAGTAAACGTGATGTGCATGTCATAAAAATTATGTTGTAAATAATAAAATATTATAGTTTTGTTTTTTTATCGGAATGCGTATTATTATTCTTTTATTAAACATAAAACATATATTATTTTATTGAAAATCGTTTTCTTGAAGATAATCAATAAGTTCTCTTTTTAAATTGCTACATGCTATTTTTATGTTAGCTTTTATTTCTTTTATGTTTATTATTATATTTTATATAAACTAAAAGACGTGAAGTATCAATGTCAAGATATTACGTCAAACTCACTTTAACAATCCTGAATAAAACTTAATAACTTCTTCTTTAAAATTTTAAGGGTAAAAGTACTTGAGATAAGGTTATATAAAGTATCAATAAACTTGTCTTTTTATATTTAATTCATGAAGCTGCAGACTTTATAAATCAAAACTCAGAAATTATCCATTTACAGTAGTTTATTTATATTTGCTTTCAATATCCATTTGTAATCATTTCTATTGTTTTCCAAATATAAACTGCAATCTCATCGTCGTGACTGCAAGTCCTCTGTAACTGCAAGTCCTCTGTAACTGCAAGTCAAAAGTTGATGTTAATATAATTGATGCACACTATCATATTATTATGTTAAAGTTTTTGTTTTTTCGGATTTTAATAATTAATTTACCATAGAACTTTTATTATAAGTATTATAACATTAGAATAATAAATCAGTTATTGTAATTCAACAAATTAAATTAATATTTAACAAATTACATAAATAAATTTATTAAAAGCTTAAAATATCATCCAATAGTCCTGAGTAAGTTAATGGCTTCTTCTTTACAATTTTAAAGATGACCACATGTATATAGATATCAGAAAAACGTGTCAATGATTCTCTTTATATGCGCATAATGAAATTATGAGTCTAAAATCAAAACTCAATAATATTTGCATAATAGTTTATTTTTGTCTGTTAATTTATTCTTTGCTTATATAATTTTCTCTACTGTTTCTCAAATATATACTGCAATTGTATTACTGTCAGATTTTCTTGCAAACCAAAAATTGATGTTAATATAATTTGTTGTCATATTATAATATTAAATTTTTTTTTGTAATTTAATATTTAATTTATTATAGAAATTAATGTAACATTTAAATGTTTTATAAGAACAACCTTTGTATATGTCTATATGTGTATTTTAGACAAACATACGTATACTAGTTTTGATAATTTGACAAATTGGAGAATTACATATTTAAGTTTATTACTAGATGTATAATATTACATTTCTCACAATTATCAAAATTAACACGTTAATTATATGAGGCACAGTCAAACCAATAGAAATAACGATCAGTTGTATCATTAAAAGATAAAAATAAGAAAAAGATTATAGTTAAAAAATGTATAACAAAGTAGTTCTCAAAATATATGTTAAACAAATTATACCTGTCTTTAAATTCAGTATTGTCTTTTGCATTTTTGACCAACTTGTACTTGGTCAGGAGGACATTGAATCGGAACATTTATGACGCTTGATTCAGTGACCACCATCATGATAAAAGTTGATATTAGTAAAAAAGTGATCATCAAATATAAAGAAAATATGTTTGTACGATTTTTTTCCATGTTTTTGAAAAGTTTCTGGAAATTAAACCAAGAATCAAATCTGAAATATGTCGCAGAAAATGATCACGGTTATAAAATAATTTTTAACTTATGACATTTTGCGTGAAAATTTTCTTTTATACTGTTACAGTCATAAATAATTTGAGTGAAGAATAAATATATATGACAAGAACATCACGATTGTACATAAATATAAAACTGTAATATAATATTAAAATATCTGTAATATAATTTTTATTATGTACATATATATAATATAGAGATACATACATACATATACATATATAATAATCCTTTATGAAAAACGTGTTGTTATAAAAAAATTTTTTTTAAATAAGTCTTTAAATATTATTATTTTGTAAATTGCCTGTTTTTTTATATTGTTCCTAAATTACTCAATAATTTCTTTATTTTTCAAGGAAATGAGAAAGAAAGTAATAAAAAACTTGTCTTTTTTACAACCAATTAATGAATCTATGATATAAAAAATTATGTCATTTATTTAATTCACATAAACAATTATTTTATATAGATGCATAATAAAAATTTTAATATTATTAAAAATAAAAATATATTATATGCAAAGTCATACATAATGCAGAAAACATAGTTAAAAGATGCAAATAAAAATCAATCGTCACATTGCGTAATCTATTATTTACAAACGTTTTGAATGAATAATAACTCCAATTGTTCTAAATAGAATCGTGCATTTTATTTGATAAATTAATTAAAGCCATTGTAGTTATACATTTACGTTTTGTAATAAATTTCTATCATGTCACGCTTAATATAATTATTGAAAGCCGTTATTGATTAAGAGTTTATAATGACCAATTTTACAAAAAGCTCATGTTTGCAATGCTCGCGGCTTAAAATCAAAATATGAGGTGTAGAAGTACGAGATATGATCTCTAAAATGCGTACTAACGCTTTCACAATAAATAAAAATTATGTTTGTGATGATTTGTATAGTTGAGTCGAATAAAATTACAAAGTAAGGATTATTTTAGTGTGATCGTTTCAATTTTAAATCTTACAGATACAATCTTATAGATACAATAAAATATGTTTACAATTAACGTTATTTATATATTCCAAATTCGTACTTTGATTTCGATATCTCTTTGGTACGAAAAAAAAAAAACGAGTTTGAACGGAATTTGTGACGCGCCGTCGCGCCAGCGCGATTTTGACAGCGTCAGTGTACAAAATGCAGAGTAATATATACGCCGGATATCGGACTGTTCTGACTATCATTTCGCACCCGGGCTTCGTGAATTTTTTATGATTTTCATAATCCCTTTATTACCGCGCCTGCGTTTGTTCGCGCATCGCCGCACCGCATCGCCCACGGGCGATAAAACCATTCATTAATTAGTCGGCGCAAAAAAGCAGCGTTATTTAGAGCGCTGGGCAAGAGCTTCTTTTTGCCCTTTCTTTGCTCCCACACCGTGTGTATCTCTATTTTTTTCTTCCGCTCAAAGTCGCGGCGCGGTTTGCACGCAACGCACACGATTCGTCGCGACGCCTTCGCGGTAATGCGGCTGAGGAGAAACGCGCGCTAATTAAAACGCCCAAAGTGTCGTTTGTCATACAGGCGCCGATTATTCGCGCCGTTGCCTTCGTAAATTTCTAATTTAGGTCACGCCGGTTAGGATTTGTTCACGCGAATGCAACACGCGCGATCGACTGCACCGGGGCGGGCGTGCATAGTTACAATACCTCGCTACGGTATGCCGACGGGTATGACGTCGCGCACGCTGCACAGAGGCGTTTCAATTATTTTACAGCTCGACGAATTTACATAACGGGATAGCCCGCGGTCCCGAGTTTATTATACATATATCGGCATTAATTAGTTATAACGCATTGGTCCTGCGAACGAATGCCCACGCGCGCGACCGCGCGTCTGCTGGAGATTGAAGAACAGATTGCGCGCCGTGCGTGTTTTTCGACGGTCGGCTCGTCGGCCAACTATAATTATTTCTCGAGTTGAAGTTAAAGTAGACTAAAAAAAAGACTTGCATTGCCTGCGTCGTGATGTCAAACTAATCGGGACGCTATTTTTTGTCGAGCGAAGCAAATCATTCTACTCTTATTTAACGCGTTGTTACAAAAGGACGGTTTTGGATTTTTAAAGAAACGACCGTAAGAATACGCGTCTTAATTATATATATGTACCAAAATACGAATGAAATTTTTTAAGTTGGAAATGCTGCTTATTAAACGATCGTACTTATTGTAACGAAGGCTTCGTATTATTTATGGCATATTATGTTAATTCCTGTTTCGCATAAACTATACGAAAGCTTACTAAGTAGCCATGTATATTCATACGCAAATGTATGCCGAAACTTACTAACCCTATTTAATGCCGAAATATTGTCGAGGATTTACATATGGGTCTAATGAGCAGATTGGATCTAATTCTTTGACTTACAGCTATACACCATAAATTTCAGCGGCCGTCAGACGAGCTGCGCGCAGATTTAAGAAATATATGAATATTTGCAGCATTGTAAGAAGAGTTACGTGCCTAAATGTAACGGATACCTGATTTAATTTAGACATATTATTTCATGGCTGGCGAATGATCAAAAAAATTAAACATTCTTTTGAATTTATCATAAAATATATGAATTTGTTATAAGAGCATGAGATATAGCTAAAAAATTGTCGAAGCAATTTTTCGCATTTAAATAAAGCGAAACTACAGCCCCTAATTTTATTTGTTGAAAAATGTAAAACCATTATCTTTGTTGCAGGTCGTTGTTGTGATGAGCGAAGTAATAGAAGCGGCAAAATAGTAAAGGCAGCATCGAACAAATGAAGTATATATACATATATAAATATGAGTATATATTCATAAGAATACTTTATTTATAATATCCATGTAATTTCAGAGTGTAAAATAAATGCAAATTGCAGAACGCGCGTTACCGCGAAAATATGTTGCAATGTCATTTATTATACATTAGGTAATCGCGCGTGAGTCGCGTAAGGTAAAACAAGAACGTAATTAAAATTATGTTTTTTTTTATGACGTACTTAAGAACGGTGTAACGTAAATATTTGCAATTTATTACGCAGATATTAATCCATCACAAACGTATAATGTTGTCTAATGAATTCATTATTCAAAAGAAATTAATAATTTAACTGAACATTGTAGGTTTAAGTAAACATTATTGTTACGCGTGAAAAATTATTGTAACGATTATAATAATGCAACATCCTATGTTTATACATCTAGATTTTTACGCGAAATATTAGCGTAAGAATGAAGATTATATATGTATACGGTGAAGGCGATTATTTAATACGTAGAATGTATTGAATTGTATACTGTGACTTACACACTTGTAAGATTATTGCTCAAGCGTAAGAATAATTCTTGGATGTTACATTGATAAAACATGTAAATTTTACTTTTTTATACGGGCAAGTAAGCGTTTAGTGATGCGCGTGGCGATAATTCAGACTGCGCTGTATCAATTATCAATTAAGAAAAGAACATTTGAAATTGTTATATTTTTGCAATATTTCTGTTATAATTTTTATCGATAATATTATAGATGATTGCAGAAGAACGGAAGTATATCACGGCAAAAAGAGAGATTGTTATAAATATGTATCTACTTTGTATATATACATAATATATTTCAGTATATACATGATTATAATTTGAGCGATGTGTATATGTATCAGTATCAATTGCTTGTATCAATTTTCTTGTTTATCACGCAATTTATGTCAGTTATCGTTCAACGTTTCTCATGTTATTATTAGAGTAGGGTAGTACATACAACGCAGATCTTTACTGAAGAGAAATAAAACTTATACAAAATAAATGAAGATTATATTGTGTATAACTTTAATAAACCTACAATTTTTGTCTTATTTAAGAAATATCTTACCTCGCACAACTGCTAGCTATATAATCAAACTCTCATTACTATGAATGACGCACTTACTTAATTTTTATTAATATTACCCATCTAAATTTTTTATATTTCGATATAGCTTGATATTTGTGAAATATAAAAATATAAAATAATATCTTATTATATATATATATATATATATATATATATAATATACAGAATACAAATCAATTTAGATTTACAGAAGACTCTTTTATACGTCGTACATGGATCTACAAGATTTAGAAGACACTTGATGTAAGTAATTTATAAAGTTCATATTTAACTCATAAACTCATTGTTCAAGAAAAACTTCGCAAATTCTTATTCGTTCTTTGCGAATTCGCGCTATTCTTGTCGCGATCTATAATTTATGAAAGATTAAATTCCCCAACGTTATCTCTTTCTTGACGAGATATTTCACTGTATTGGATGACATAAAAAATGTAATACACGAATATAGCAGAATTCTGTTATATAATAGCTGCTACATTTTAGTTCTCTCTAATTAAATGGCTGCGAGACTGCCATTAGTTTAACGTAGAATTATAGCTACGCAGTTGAAGAGGATATGATAACATCCTATTCCACTGTCTGACGCTGTCACGCACCGTATGTATTGTTTCGCGAATAAACGAAATTAATACCGTGTTAGTTTCTTGATGAAGGCGCATCGGAACAGTAATTCTAATGGCCTACTTTTTGATTCTGATATAAATAATTTGAGACTGTATAATATTTAAAATTATAAAAATTTCTGAAACCTGACAAAAAAATATATTGTTTCTAAAATAAATACGATAAAAAAACACGCGCATATTAATATTAAAATAAATAAATATTTAATCAGATATCAACAAAATATTGTTTTAATTATAATTAATAATCTCTGTCTAACGTGCAATAATATGAGAATAATTTAAGTTACAAATAAATTATTTTTAATAAAAATCAAACTTATTAGGAGAATTAATCGAATTTCTTAACTAGTTATTATATATATAAGTACCTGACGTCTGTATGTCTGTATGTCTGTCTGACCGCAAACTACTCATTCGTTATATAGTGGACCGAATTTTAAAGTAAATATATGTTGTATATGAAGCAGGGGTATTTCCCGGGGAGTGCCATAAAGTGTATAATTTTTCTTTACCGATCTTTTTGGAAACCGGTTCCGAAATTTTTCCAATTTTTCCGGAAATAATTGACCAAATCTCAAAGAATTGTTTATGAAGTAGGGGTAGAATTTGCCGGGGATTGCCATAAAGTGTATTATTTTTTGTTACCGATTTTTTGGAAACCAGTTTCAAAATTTTTCTAATTTTTCGAGAAATAATAAGTATTAATAGATCGATTTTCTTGAAACCAGTGCCAAAATTTCTTTTATTTTTTTAGGATAAATTTAATCTTTCATTAATGAATAATTTTTCATTGATGGATCGATTTTCTTGAAACCGGTGCCAAAATTTTTCTAATTTTTTGGGGATGGCAATGATGTGTAGAATTTTTTATAACCGATTTTTTGGAAACCGGTTTCAAAGTTTTTTTAATTTTTTAAGGATGACGACAATGAGTTTAATTTTTCAGTAATGGACGTTAATGCCGGTGCAAACACGACATAACCCTAGGGACCGGCCCTAAGGTATATTCATTAGGCATTTTTCTCCCCCAACGAGACACAAAAAAAAATGGCCCAATATCTCCAAATTTGCGGAAATTAGTAAACACACAGGCATTTATGATGTGGAAAAATTGAAACTTCTTTAAAATAAAAAACAATGTATAAATTTTTATCAAAATGAGAGTAAATAAAAGGGTTGTATTACCTGACTTGAGTGCTAAAATGCAACGCAATACAGAATTAGAAAAAATAATTGAAAAAGTGAAAGTGAGCCAAAAATGGCGAGTCAGTGAGGAGTTCCCGCGATGCGCGGGAAAAATAAATATATATCTATATATATACATAAATTTAAGAGAAGAAACTTAATATAAAAAATGGAGAAAAAATTGTCTGTGAAGAAAAAAGTAAGAACAAAGAGGGTTTAGAGAAGGGATTAAGACTAAAAAAAGGAAAAGGTTTTGAGCCCGCCGCACGAAGCGCGGGCCAAAAACCTACTATTTTATACAAAAAGATAAATTTCTAAAAGATGTGAAGTATCAATGTCAAGATATTACGTCAAATTACGTAATATTATTTTCAGATCTCATTTTAACAATCCTGAGTAAAACTTAATAACTTCTTCTCTAAAATTTTAAGGGTAAAAGCACTTGAAATAAGGTTGAGATATATAAAGTATCAATATAAACTTGTCTTTTTATATTCAATTCGTAAAGTTGCAGATTTTATAAATTAAAACTCAGAAATTAGCCATTCACAGTAGTTTATTTATATTTGCTTTCATTTACAATATCCACTTGTAATCATTTCTATTGTTTTCCAAATATAAACTGCAATCTCATTGTCGTGACTGCAAGTCCTCTGTAACTGCAAGTCAAAAGTTGATGTTAATATAATTGATGCACACTATCATATTATTATGTTAAAGTTTTTATTTTTTCGGATTTTAATAATCAATTTACCATAAAACTTTTATTATAAGTATTATAACCTAGAATAATAAATCAGTTTTTGTAATTCAACAAATTAAATTAATATTTAACAAATTACGTATATAAAATTATTATTACATATATAATATTATATTTTCTAAAATTGTCAAAATTAATAAATGTCTATTTGATGTATCATGAAACTAATAGAAAAAATAATATTTAATTTTATTGAAAGGTATAATAGCAAGATCAAAAAATATTATAGTTGGAAAAAGAACATATAAAAGCATTTATCAAAATATATGTTAAACAAATTGTACCTTCTGTTTTTTAACCCGCGGGTGTGCGGCATTGTCCATGGGAATCCTCTCTCTGACCTTCAGGACATTTGGATTTGGGTCGTGATGGAACATCTATTACACTAGACATAGGCAGTGACCACACCATCGTGATAAAAGTTGATATTAATAAGAAAGTCATCATCAAGTATGTAAAGAACGCGTTGGTACGGCTAATCTCCATGTTTTTGAAAAATATTAGGGAATAAAAAGAGAAATAAAAAATCTAGGATCTTATACAGCAGTAGAATATAGCTGCAGAGTAATCACAGTTGTGAAGTAATTTTTAGTTTGTAGTATTATATGTATAGGTATATGATATATATAATATATACACGGAAGAACTTTTTTTATACAGTTACAAATGACTCTAGTCAACGACAAATATATATGATAAACTCGTTTACATCCAATAAAACTTATATTGTAAGTAATAAACATCATAATTTTGTTTTGTGCAACGCATGTATGTTATAGTTTTTTCGTGACAAATATAAAATATGTTATTTTTATTTAAATTTATTTAATCTTATGCCATGTTTGATTTTTTATGTGTTACTTTTATTATTGTTATCATATAAAAAAAAAGAGAATTTTATAAAAGGCTTAAAATATATCATCCTTAATAATCCTGAGTAAGTTAATGGCTTTGTCTTTAAATTTTAAAGATGACCATATATAGATATCGGAAAAACGTGTCAATGATTTTGTCTCTTTATATGCATAATGAAATACGCGTCTAAAATCAAAACTCAATAATACATGCATGATAGAATTTCTTAACTAGTTTTTTATAATTTGATAGCACTAATAAATGTTCGATATATAATGTGAGAGAGGTTACGTAATATGAGAGATTCGTTGGAAACTTCTAACAAACATGAAAACATTCGTAGTTCACAGTTATAACTGCATTTAAAAATATGAATTTAATATATAAACTCCTCGTTAGCAGTTAAGAGATTATAAATTGCATTAATGCAGCAGAGAATTTATCTCATATAAGTCTCTATTATGACAAACGATAAAATATAAAAACTAATACTTCTCAATTTTTTTTATTAAAGTAGTTTCAAGAAGGTGGCGGAGCAAGAGAAATATTGAAATCGTCAAATTTGAAGATAATTGTGAGGTGATATCGATTTCTTTTGTTTATACATCTGGCACAGTTTGAACAAATTAATTTACTTTGAAAGGTTAAGACGATTATTCCAAGCACCACTTCGAGCAAACGATAAGAACTGAATAATGAAATTTTGATTCAAAACTGAACAGCAATTGGAGCTGAACGATATATCCTCCAATTGTTGAAAAAATATTGGATTAATTAACCGAGACTCTATCTAGTTTTTCTCTTATTTTATTATTGGTGAATAGATTATCTTTCTTTATTATAACTTTTTGCTTAACAAATAGTGATTTTTAGATCTATTCCAGGTAACAAAATGACGACCAAAACGACAAAGCGATGTCTATTGATTTTTAATACACGTTACTATGTAATTTTTTTCAAACATCACTCTGCTATTTATTGTTTAAGGATATTTTTATTAAGTTAGTTACGCACTACAGAAGTTATCTAAAGAGTTTTTTATGAATCCAGAATTAATTTTATTTTAGCGAAAATTTGATTGGCTATTATTGAGCGCAATTCTCTTTATTTCAATCTTTTTCATAACTTGATGATTGTGCTTGGAAGTAAATTTTTCTTAAAATTTACGAGCAAATATAATTTTTTTGCTTATTTATATGGAAGCTCAGTCTACTACGACTACGACTGTTCTGGCTACCTTCGTTTCTTATTTTAAGAAATCATATTTCGCAGAACTTAATTTCTCGTTACGGTGCTACATTGAATCATTCTTAAAATATGGACTAAAAAAATTAAATATAGAAACAGAATGAGAATGGAAGCTAGAACTTTCAATACTTTATGAGTTTCCGTAAAATATAATATGCCAAATTTACACGTACAATTTTTCTGTTCCTTAATACAATTTTCTATGCGTTGACCTTTTATATTACCATTTTTAAAATAAAAATATATATAAATGTTAAAACAACTTTAAATATTATCATGTATTTTGTGAACTATTTTTCTTGTCATTTTAGTATAATCTTATAATTTAATACTTCTTTAATACTTTTTTAAATATTTGTTACAGATAACAGCAGAGAAGAGAAGAACGTCTTTTTCTATTTAATAATTAAAATTATAGGTTTAAAATTACAATTCAACAACATATGTATTTATAATTGCCTCTCTACAAAAATGTCGATGTTATCTGGACATAAAAATAATACTAGTATTGTCGCCTGTAATTGCGAATCAAAAATTAATATATTATCACCGCTGTTATATTAATGTATTAAAATTTGTTTTACAACTTAATAATCTAATGTTTAATAAACGAGTTTGATGAATGAGCAGATCTATTTGCATTTAAAAATATATTACAAAGATTATATCCAGGTTATTAAAAAAAATTAAAGTACATTTTTCATTGAGATTTAATCCTTGATTAAAGGGACGTTTCCTAATAGGAATTTATACGATATTTCACTCAATAATTATCATCGTAACAATGTTCCATATTATGCTGCAATCAAGTATGCTGTGTAAATGTGTCGTAGCTTGTCTTCATGTTTTCAAAAAGACATTAAGCTAGTGACATCAGAAACAAAAATGAAATCCAAGCAAGGACACAATTCCATATCGGCACTTGGATTTTTTATTTTATATTGTTTTTGATCATAAGTGACACATGCCAACCAAATATACAATAAATATTAAACAGATACATACTAATTCTAAAGAAAATTATTTCTTAAAGGGTCATATACTTAACTCTTGTATTAAATATATTATATAATATTATATTTCATAAAATTATCAAAGTTAATGGATCTACATTTAATGCATGATTAAATCAATTATTGAAGAACATAACAGTCAATCAGTGTATCAGTGTATTATTGGAGCATATGATGTAAAAAATGGAAAAGATTTTAGTTAAAAAAGGAATAAATCTACAAAAAGTATTTTCAAGAATATAGGACAAATTACACCTGTGTGATTAACCTCTAATTAACCTTTTCCGTGGCGCATTTCTCGCACATCTCTTTTGTAACCAGGACGACATTTTGATGGATTTCTGGTACTATTATCTACCCTTATGAATGAATGATGAGTATTATTGAATTGACCAGGGATATATATATGCGCGTTGACATTAATGAAAAAAAATCATTAAATATGTAATAAACGTGTTGGTGCTGGTACGGTTATTCTCCATATTTTTAAAGAACGTTAGAAACTACATAAAGCAGAAATCAAGTCTGTGAAATTGCGAGAATGTAATACAGCTGCAGAATAATCAGTAGTAAATTATAATTTTTAACTTGTAGCATATTATACAAGAAGAACTTCTTTTATACAATTAAAGTTATAAATTTAATCAACAAATACATGCATATGACAAATGCATCATGTTTACATACAATAAAAATTATATTACAAGTACTAAATAATTTTATTTTAAAATATATACATGTAAATAGATTTTTTCATGAAAAATAAAAAGCATCTTACTTTTATTTAAATTCTTATTATTTGAATATCATGCTAAGTTTTAGGGAGGGCTCCAGTTGCCTACAAAACGATTGCCTACAGGTTCGATTGCACACACTTATTGCACACAATCCCGATAGCCCACATTTCAAATTGCCTACAGAGCGATTGCCTACAGGCATTATTGCG